ATCCCATTAGTTATATATCAATCAGTAGTACTACTCTACAGTGTATAGAAACATCTGCGCCTAAACTATAGAAGTGAGAGAGAGAGAGAGCACAGTTAGCTTAAAAATGTGTGTCTATTTCCCAATTTTGCCCATTTTTTTGATGAGAGAGAGAGAGAGAGAGAGAGAGAGAGAGAGAGAGAGAGAGAGAGAGAGAGAGAACCCTCTCTCCCCCGACACCGACACATACAGTACATACATATTATATACAAAAAAAAAACTTTCGCTCTTTTTTTTTGTCTCTCTTTCTCTTTCTTATAGTATACTCTAATACACTTCACACCAATTCTCTCTCTCTCTCTCTCTTTCTCTCTCTTTCCCCTTATCTGGTTGTCCTCGACATGTCGATGCTCTCTCTCTCTCTCTTAATAGTAGATCGCATTGAATCGCAAAAATTTAGGTCTTGAACCCCCACCTCTCATTTGACAGTATAATTCTCAATGTCTTTTTTCTCTCTCTCTCTCTCTCTCTCTCTCTATTATCTATCTCCCTGTTTCCCTATATCTGTATTTCCTCCCCACCCTCCATACCCTCTTAAACATCTACACAAACTATACTATACCCCCTCCCCCTTTCCCCAGTTCCTGCCCCCCAATCATCTCCACTTCCAGTTCTTGTCTAATATATTGTGTGTGCGTGTATGTACTCAATGTGTGTGTGTGTGTGTCAGTGATGACTGAATCTGTAATACATTGACATACCATATATATATATTGTATGTCTAAATATATCAGGGCCTTACATTAATCTCGCACACGCGGTTTTTGCTATAATTCTTAAATGGTGTGAGATATATTAATTTTGTAAAAAGAGTATTAAAAAGTGATTTACGTGTGATATTATAAAATATTAAATTTTTAATTTTGATCACGTGATCATATTTATTCTGGGATGTTAGCAAACCACTATATCACAACCTAAACTATAAATGCTAGAATAAAATTTCAATAGTAAGTTTGCAATGCCTAAACTGGAAATTTATGGGAAGAAAATTTTTTTAAAATTGGTTGCAAAATAAATTTTTTATAGTTTTTCAAACTTGTGGAAAAACACATTATATAAAATAGTCGAAAATAAAATTACGTTATTTATGGACAGTAGACACTTATTAGATAGAGATTTTAATACTATTGCTTATTCTAAAAACAAAATTTTTTTATGTCAAATATATTTTTAGATAATCAAATTTAATTAAAAATTAAATTATCGAAATACTATGCTGTGTTTTTTATTGTAATTTGATTATCTAAAAAAATATTTGACATAAAAAAATTTTGTTTTTAGAATAAGCATTAGTATTAAAATCTCTATCTAATAAGTGTCTACTGTCCATAAATAACGTCATTTTATTTTCGACTATTTTATATAATGTGTTTTTCCACAAGTTTGAAAAGCCATAAAAAATTTATTCTGCAACCAATTTTAAAAATTTTTTCTTCCCATAAATTTCCAGTTTAGCCATTACAATCTTACTAGTGAAATTTTATTCTGGCATTTATAGTTTAGGTTTTGATATAGTGGTTTGCAAATATCCAAGAATAAATATGATCACGTGATCAAAATTAAAAATTTAATATTTTATAATATCACGCGTAAATCACTTTTTACTACTCTTTTTACAAAATTAATATATCTCACTCTGTTTAAGAATTATAGCTAAAACCGCGTGTGCGAGATTAATGTAAGGCCCTTTTATATAACTTATAGATATATATGTGTGCAATAAGTGAATGCAATTGAAACAATTTTTTTTCAACAAAAAAAAAGTTTCGCGTTTGACTATACAATACACAATTACATACAAAAATCTACTACAACTACTACTACTACTACTACTACTCTAATACTGGTAACCACTGCCTCCCCGTTCCTTATGTTCATTATATTCTATACTACTGTTCCTTATTCTCAGTCTCTCTCTCTCTCTCTCTCTCTCTCTCTCTCTTTCTCTCCTACAACACACCAGCACTCATACATTTATACATTTAGACACTGATAGAGAGAGAGAGAGAGAGAGAGAGAGAGAGAGAGAGAGAGACTATAACCTCTACTACTACCTACCAGTGCCCAAATGAATAGTCCGGTGTGCTCTCCACCGTTCCACTATAACATATATATATATATATTATAAGTTTACTTCCGAGTGGTGGCCCACAAAAAAATGCCTATTATTATTACTGTACTGTATATATATATATATACATCTATACACCTTTCAAGGATGGCATACATTTGGCCCGTTTCTGAGTATATGTATATGAAGTGACTGTAGGTTTCTCTCTCTCTCTCTCTCTCTCTCTCTCTCTCTCCTGTCTATTGACCGTTATTTGCAGACAATTTCAATGGTTTAGTGAATGTTATGACTGGAAATAGGAAAGAGAGAGAGAGAGAGATAGGGTAGAGAGCTTAGGTAGTTATACCCTAGTAGTGGTAAAAATAGTATTAATCATACGGTAAGGAATAAACCGTACGATTCCCACTAAATAATAATAATAATAATAATAATAATAATACTATTACTACTGGCATACAAAATACAGAAATACATTTCCCATTTCCCGATTGAACCAAATTTTTTATATTATTTTTTATTTTTATTATTTAAATCCCCCTTTTTATACCCTTTGTATTTTTTACTATACATATATATATATACAGTATATATGATAATAATAGATGATATATATATATATATATATTATATTTTTTTGGTCTACTTTTTTTTCCTGGGGCCTACCCCCTTTGATTTTCCAGACAACGGTGCTCTGAGCACTGTCTGGGAAGTAAGTTATTTTTGTGAGAGAGAGAGAGAGAGAGAGAGAGAGAAACCCTTTATTTTTTAGACATAGAGAGAGAGAGAGAGACCCCCATATAACTGTTTGGTAGCTTATGTATGTCTGTGTGTGAAGTGGTGTGGTCGTATAGCCACCAAATAAGTACCGGTGCTATCTGCTCTGGGCTTTTTTATTATTATTCTTGTAAAATAAAGTATTTTTTATTGTTGGGTTATCACACACACACACACACACACAAAGAGTGAGTGAGTGAGAGAGACAGTCTGATCTGTCAACTAATACTGTTCCCATTATCACCCGATAATAGTATAAGTAGTGGTAGTAGTGTTAGTCGATTTAAATGTCTGTCCAATTGTTATAGTTGTCGTTGTCGGCGACCTCGACGTCTATAGAGAGACCTACATAAGCGATGCACCCTTTCATACATATATATATATATAAAGACAAATTGATTGCAGTTTTTATGATTTCCCGAAAAAAAACATAACTGTATTAACTCAACAATACATATGTATATATATATAGAGAATATTCTTTGTATTATAGCTTAAAAATTTTTTTGGTAGTTTTTTTGTGTCCTAAATATATATATATATATATATATTGTAAGTCATATATACTGTATTATTAAAAGGACGTTATGGTCGGTCATAATGACTATACTGACACACATGTGTTTTTTTGAATGATAATAACGGTGCGAATCGAGAGAGAGAGAGAGAGAAAAGTCATATTTATTATAAGGAAAGACCTCTTTTATCAGTATTATCGATACGATTACAACCACTAACTACTACTACTACTACTAACCCATACTATCCCATAAAATGTTTGAACATTTGGCTCTTGTATTTTGATGAAAAAAACCCCTTTTGAATAATAATAATAAGTTAAAACTTTTTGTATTTCAAACACTACACAACAAAATTATTAGTTGTTTTTTTTTGTATGTGTAGTTGTTATGTGTGTGTATGTACTGTATAAGTAAATGTTGAACTTTTTAAGGGCACACACACACACACTGTAAAAATCATTGACAAACCATTTAACACACATATAGATAGATAGATATACTGTATAACTACTGTGTGTGTGTGTGTGTGTGTGTGTGTGTGTGTGTGTGTGTGTGTGTGTGTGTGTGTGTGTGTCTTATATACTATGTATGAGTGAGTGAGAGATAGTATAACAGGAAAAACTGAGAGCGAAAATAATGTATAAAAGATATAATATATATATATATTAAAAAAATCGGTTCATTTGAATACAGGTTATCATAAGTGTTATGGAAATTAAATACAAACAAAACAAACAAACAAAAAAATTATAGTAATAATAATAATATCTAATATACAGTATTAGTAGTTAACATATGATAAAAAAATTTTACAGGAAAAAAACTATTGATATATATATATATACTAATAGTGTTTCAATGGTAAACAATGTAAATGTTTTAGAAAGATATATAGTGAAAATTATTATCATTTTGTTGTAAAAAAAACCTAATATTTAAAATTAAAATAAAAAGTTTGTTAACCTATGTCTTGGACAGACAGAGAGTGTGAGAGGAAATAGTAAATAACAAAAGGAAACAAAAATTTTCAATCAATAAGTTTTTTTTGTTGCATATAATACTTATATAATATTATATATATATATTGAAAATTTAACACACATTTTCTGTATATACTATGTGTGTCTATCTATCCATTGATACAATATTACTATTACTACAACTAGTAGTAGTAGTAGTAGTAGTAGTAGTAGTAGTAGTAGTAGTAGTAGTAGTACTAGTAGTCTACTAATACTAATCTTAATACTACTTAACACACATATGCTTGTACTATAAGATATTGAACTTTTTTTTTGTTGGTTGTATTGTATTATTTAGTTTTATTTTATTTTTTTTATATAAAAACTACATTTATATTATATTATATAATAATAAAACCTAGTATTGTATGTCACATATACTATATATATATATTGACAACTGGACTCTCTCTCTCTCTCTCTCTCTCTCTCTCTCTCTCTTCTATCTCCTGTATCCGATATAATACACACACAAAAAAAACTATATAAAAAACTATAAGGTATTGACACGTATTTCTTTTATATATATATATATCTAAAATATCGTATCTATTGTTATATATATATATATAGTTGACGGGTGCGAACCGGGAGCGCCGCCTCCCAATGGCACGGGTCATCAACATCATAACCATCACCATCAACACACAAATAGTAGATCACCGCATATTGGCGGCGGCGGAAATCATAGTCCGACAACAACACAACAACACTCGGTGACCACCAATGGCCAAGTGGTGGCCATCAAATACGAACAAACCGGTGCTGGCGGTGGTGGTGGTGGTGGACAACAGGGCGTTGGTGGCGGCCAACCGACTACAACACTGTTGCAGAATATATTGCAACAAAACCGATCGGCGGCCGTAGCGGCCAACGGCGGCAACATATACTCTATTCAGCGACAACAACAACAACAATCGCAGTCATCGCAGCAGCCGATGGCCACTACAACGTCGTCGACGACAACGACGTCACCGTTGCCGCCATCGCCGGCCGATTCGGGTGTATCGGATGTCGACTCCCATTACAGCTCTAACGATGAGCAACAACAACACAACCAGCAGATGAACCATTCGTACGGCGGGTACTTCTATGGCGGTCAACGGCAAACATGTAAGTCTAATATAACCTAAACCTAACCCCTAAACCCCCTAAAAAAAATATACAGTACATGTCTGTCCCCTCCATCATAAATATGTATGTCTATCCAACAACAACTACTACTACAGACTACTGTCCCTTTCGCAGCCCAGAGAGACCCCCATAACTAACTAACCTCTTAATGCAAATTATTATGACTGACAATAACAACACACACACACACAAAAAGTTTTATTATGTTTAAGATAGTGTGGAAATTACTTAAAAAAGTTTTTTTTTTACTTTTTAAAACCATATCCTATTTGGGTTGACAATAAAAATATATATATATAATACCATACAATATAACCAAATGCAATCGATTTTAAAGCCCATATAATATATGCATGCACTGACACCCCCGTACTGTTACGTACTGTACTAACCCGTGACAGACAACATATTGTCCACTTTGTTGTTGTTGTTATTATTATGTTGTGTTGCGTATATGGATTGTCCACCACTACCACCACCACTCCCTGGTGTCCCCCACACACACACCCCCACTACATCAAATGGTTATCTCACAGAGCAGCCATCGCCCCACACAAACAAACATATATGAGCTAATGTATTATACAATTTATTGGGGGGGGGGGATAGTTATGTGTGTTAGCCCATAGGCTATGTCCGCGCGGAAAGAGAGACATTATATGGTTTAGAGGGGGGAGGGAGAGGGAGATATATGGCTGTGCTCTTGAAAATTGTCATTATATTTATTGTTACGATTATTATATATACAATATACTAGTCGTTGATGTTGTTGTTATTTATTATATTATGTATATATCGGAGGAAAAAAATGTCGATTTGGGAGGAGGAGGGGGAGGCATATGATTGAATATTTAGGTCTATGAGTGTATAGTATAAGTAGCGTAGGAGAGGTACGACCTATTGACCAGATTTGTATGCTATGCTATGCAAAACCATACCAATCCATAAACAACAACAATAATAACAAAATTTTTTTAGCCGGTGACACAATAATGCCTACTTTTTTATCAAAAAAAAAATTTAAAAGATAAATACAATACTATTTGCGACAAAAAAAAATTTTTCTCCTATTATTTGTAAGTGTCGTCAATAAAATACACAAAATATATTTAAGAGATTTTTGACGCTTTCTTTAAGCGGTTCCCCCCTCTCTCTCTCTCTCTCTCTCTCTCTCTCACTATTACTGAGTACTGGGCACTGGTATGTTATGTGCCATTATTGTTATTATTTACTAAGTTGTTGTAGTATATATGGGCACTGGTATATATTTTTTAAAGATGCTATGGTACGGTACCTTTTTTCAATTGTATGTGTGTGTGTGTGTGTGTGTGTGTGTGTGTGTGTGTGTAGGTGTTTACACCAATATACTGTGTATAGATATATACCCCCCCCCCCCCTTGCCCCTTACTTACAGCAAAAAATAAAAATTGTTGTTGACCTAAAAAAATAAGTTTTGTAGTTTATTTGGTAAATAAAAAAAAATAAGAGATATTTATTTTATTTTTTTTGCTAACAAAATAAAAGTTTTTTCAAAAAAAAAATTATTTTTTCCTTTAGTTATGCTGTTTTTGAGATGAAAACATATGCAACAGTTTTTTTTGTGTGCATTTTATTTTTATTTTTTTTTTGAAGGATATATATATATATATATATATATATATATATATATATATATATATATATAACAAAATAGTTTAGATGTATAACAAAAAATAAGTTCACAATAATAATAATATCTATTAGTTGTTTAGATATATATATAACGTTATATAATAAATAGGTTACTAATAACTTTCTATTGAATTTATAAAAAAAATAATTATAATTTTGATTATTATTATTTAAAAATCATTTAGACATCATATTCATAAAAACAGATATTAAAAATTATTAATCAATTTATTTTCATATAAAAATAGATATTTTAATTTATTTAAAAAAAATTTCTCAAAATTATTGCCAATTAATTTTTTTATTATTATTGAATAGTATATACAGTATATAAAGGAAATCTATAGATTTTTGATAAATATTTAATTGGAAATAAAAAAAATTAAAATTAATAAAATTATTAGTTATGATAAAATAATTTTTTTTATATACAATGTATATATATTTTTTGAAGTGTTTTTTTTTTAAATAAATAATATTAATTATTATACACTGTATATAATTCTAGATAATATGAAATCTTATAATATTTATTATAACAGGAATACTTAAAATTACTAATAATTAGATATATATATATATATATATATAAATTTATAAAAATAAAAGTGAACTTAAATTTTATTATATTATAGCATATATTAATAATATTAGATTAAAACATTGTTTAAGTACAGTGTATATAACTGTTAGTATAGTGTAGACATATTAAATACTATGTATTAATTTAATTGTAATATATATTAGTTATCTAATCATTGAAAATGTTATTTTATTTTTATTGATTTACGTGTTATATATATATATATATATATATATATATATATGAATGTATATATTTATTCTATGAATATATATATATATAGCAGGAATACATCAAATAAAATAAAAAAAAAGTTTTTATTTTATTTTTTATATACAATTTTATTTTTATCTCTAATTTTATTTTTTATTATTAATTCATTTTTATTTTTTACCGATTCCTTGTTAATGTTTTTATTTAGTATTTTTTTAATATTATTATTATTATTAAAATTATATACAAATTATACAATAAAATATCTTTATATGGCTTTAATTACAAAATTTCTAAACAAAAATTTTCCGCAAATATATATTTATCTAAACATTTTATTAAATAAAATTTGATAATTATTTAGTTTAAAAAAATACATATATATTTGCCATATATATATAACTAATTAAATTAAATAAATTTAAAATTGAAATAATTAAATATTGAAAACATTTTTTTTTTTGAACAAATCGTAACAAATCTCTAAAATACAGTAAACTATAGAAATACATATAAAAAATTTTATCAAAAAAAATATCTATATATATATAGTATATGTTTTGAATTTTAATATTACAAAATACAACCCTAATTTTTTATGTGATTAAATTAGTAATGAAATTATTGTTATCTACTACTAAATAGTAGTAAAACTAAAATAAAAAGTTATTGTAATTAAATTATTTATGTTTTTAGTTATCTATAGTAGACATAGTACACACAGTTATGATGATGATGATGTTTGAGGAGGGGGTAGTCGCTTAATGACTGCCCCCTATACCTAACTCAATCAGTTTATATTATTATATATGTTTTTTTAACCGACATTGAACTACAATATATCTATATATATATATATATATATATATATATATATGAAATGTTAGTTTTATTAGTTGAAAGTACAGTTGAAACAACATTGAAATCAAAAGATAGAAAGAGAGAGAGAGAGAGAGAGAGAGAGAGAGAGAGAACTGTGTATTCAAACAAACAAACAAAAAAATGCAATTATAATAATAATAATTAGTATTACTATTATTATTATGATAACAACAATACTGTTATAACTCTTATTTTGTTGCAACTAATGGGTGTCGACAAAGATATACCGGAATTTATTTGTTGATAAAAAACGAGATTTTTTTTTGTGTGTATGTAATTAAAAAACACTTTTTAAAAAAAAAATGTGTATAAACTGTATGTTTAGGGAAAAGTTATTGAAAAGAAATTTTTATTTTTACCGTATGTTTCCTTTTATTGTTGATTATGATTATGATTACAATTAACTGTGTATTTGCATTATTATTATTTAGTATATACTGTATATATATATATATATATATGACATAGATAAATAGATTTAAATAATAATAATTTAAATAATAATACAATGTATTTAAAAAAAAATTCAAATTAGTATCAAATAGTATGTTATTATTCTATATGAATGTATAAATTTGAAAAATTTAAATTTATTTAAAAAAAAAAAAATTATTTATTAACAAACAAAAAATTTATTGGCAATGTTTATATATATATATATATATATATATATATATATATATAGTATTCAACAAAAAAAGTATTTAAATTGTTGTATATTTATTTATATTAACATTTTTTTATAGAGAAAACAAAATTATTTTTAATTATATTATTTTTTATATATATATATATATATATATATAAATTTTTAGAGTATAATAAAAAAAATATATTTAGTAATATATCTATATATGTATGACAATAATCTTGATTATATTACGACACACACACACACACACACACACACACATACATACAGTCTAATTATTTTCAATAGTTATAATATAATAAATTTATACGATATTTATACAGTATAACTAGCATACAGTACAGTACTACAAACATAGTATATATGCTTATTTTATTTTGTTATTTAAGCATAACCTTGGTAAATTCAATCAATAGTGCATTGATACTACACTACGACTACTAATTGAGCATCATATATATATATATATATATACATGTATATATGTGTATATATTTATATAATGTGACGGCAAATATATTTTTATTTTTTGGCAACAATTTTTATGACATTTTTGGCTCCGGGATATAAATTAGGCGATAAATATATTGATAGTCTCTCTCTCTCTCTCTCTCCTATTGTGTACATCCTATACACACACACTTAGATATATCTGGTTTTATATATATATTTATATATAAATATAAAAATTCATATAAATATATATATATATATATACTCAACATTTTGTATAACAATTTTCTCTACCAAAAACTCAAGGCTACGGGAAGTTTAGTGAATCCAATGTGAAATATACTGTATATATATATATATAAAAAATATAATGTCTCGCATATAACGTGTGTGTGTGTGTGTTGTTTGTGTGTGAAAATTACATGAGGAGTGGGTTTAGTTTTTAAAAAAAGCAGCCAGTGCATTTTGGGGAAAAAAATATATCATAGTTATGTATATGTTAGGGAACAGGGAGTTAAAAAAAGA